CCCACAGACACTGAAGGACAACTGTATTTACTATGTGCTGCCTAGACATGTTGCTTCACCTCCCTGAATCGCAGTTTACTCTTGTGTTTACAACAGAGATAATGAGGCCTTTCTCTCTGGGTTGCTGTGATGTTTCAATAAAGTAATAGGCATGTGTACCTTGCACACAGAAGATACTCAGTAAACCCCCACTTTCACCCAGTCCTTTCTTTATTTTCCACATCATTGTGTTTCTTTGCATTACTGTGAATGCCATGATTTACATTTTTTAAAAACCACACAATGTTTGTGTGACTCCCAAGACAGACTCTCCAGCCTCTCCAAGTGCCCATCTCCAGAGATAAGAAGCTCAGTGACTTGAAGTGGGTTGGGGGAGAGAAGGAGGGAGGGAGAGAAGGGGACTTCTCCTCCCACTGAAGTACTAGAACACTAGAAGCTAATCTAGGACCTCTCCGAGAATTTTGTAAGGAAGTCCAAGAAAAGCTGTTAAAAAGTAATTTTTAGTATCTTAGCTGAAGAATAAATAAACATTTATTTAGGACTATGGAGAGTCTCCAAGACACTGTATTACCCATATAAAGAAGGGGAAACTGAGGCTCAAGGAGCTTAAGCATCTTGCCAGAGGTCCCAGCTAGTAAGGGGGAAAAGGGGTTTCAAAACCCAGGTTTCACCCTCTGCTCTCTTCTGCTCTCCTATGTTATTGCAGTAGTTTGATTTCATGTAGGAGCTTTTAAATCAATTTCAATTTAGACTTTTGGAGGCAGTCACACTGTACAGACAAAGATGATGAGGTCCAAAAACTTGAGTTAATAAAAATGAAAATTTTAGATTTAGTGTAAAACTCAACTGAAGTCTAAATAAGACTAAATGGTAACAACAGTGTTCTCTGTGGTCAGATTAGAACTGCTTATCTACCTGAACTGTGTCCTGAAGTTGAGACTAGGCAGTATAGCAGGCTGGGATTTCTTTGTTCTTGCTTGATGAACTTTTCACCACTTTTCACGATGTGCCTATTGCAGTCCAGTGAGAGCTGCATCGAAGAGAGTTCGTTCTACCCCTCATGTTTGCCACAAACGGTACCACACGTTGACATGCCGATTATCCCGAGAGTTTCCAAACCACATGCTGCTTAGGAGCAACCAGGAAAGAGTGTAGAGGGAAAAATGAGCCCCATTCCCCTGTTTGTTTTGGAAAGGTCACTTGCCCCACTGCAGAGAACTTTTTCTGCCTGCTCTCCTTGGTGATCTGAGAGTGGCTGACACAACAAGAGCCCAGCTACATTTCCAGTGCCCTTTAGGACAAAGAGGAAAGGTGTGTGGAGGTCCAGCACCTCACCCTGCCTCAGCCTGGGCCACCTTATTCCCCCTGCTGCCCCTACCTCATCTCTCCAGGTGATGTTCCTGGCCTTGGAATGTGTTACAACGTGACCCAGAGACAGGCCACTCCCTGTACCATCCTTCCTAATCGCGCTGTCTCTCTCTCTCTGACACACACACACACACACACACACACCCCCCCCCCGAGAGACACCCTTCTTCACTGAGGCAGAATCACTTAGAACAGTGCAATCACAGAGCCAGAGGAATCTTATAGACCACTACATTTCATATCCTTTCCTTTTACAGGTGAGGAAACTAGGAGCTAGGGAGGCTAACTTGCCCAGGGTCAACGCTATTAATGTGCCCTTCCTTCTGTTAATGACAGCAGGAATTGTTGGTTATCTTTAGCACTTCATATATTAGAAAATGAGCTTTTTAAAAGAATTACTGAAACGTGGTAGTAAGTGACTTTCCTCATGGAAAAATAGTGCCACTATTATCATTTCCTCTTTATTTCAAGCCCACACTTGGAGTTGTTAAGAGCATTTTGTATTTGCAAGTTTCCAGAGATATTATTTTTCACATCACTATCCCTTATTATTAAAATGTTCCCTGTGTGCCAACATTCTGGAAGATGCTGCCACGTGTACCAAATCGGACACAAATTGTATTCGCACAGTCAAGGCCTCCATGCAGTTTGATGCACCAAGCATTTATGCATCGTTTGCTGTAGCTGGACATGTAGACAGTTTGTGGGGCAGCCCAAGCAGGTCTCTAAAACAAGCAATGTTCATTAATTTGTGTGTATAGACAGTGGGTTCTACATGGTCCACTTGCTAAGGCTGTTCAGCCACTTGCAGATGATGGTCAAGAGAAACAGAATACCTCATGCAGCAGCGTTGATGTCCTGTACCTGGGTAGCATAAAGGTTCCCTCTGAGCCTTCAAGAGCAGGCAGATGAGGTTAATGGGTAAGAAAGGCCTCCTAAGAGAGTGGGAAGGGGTGGGAATGTTTCCAACTGCAGAGAGTCCTATTTGGGACAGCCAATGCTCAACTCCAGAGTTTTGTCAGGTGGACTTGGACTAGCAAAGCCCGACCTCTGATTTTTTTAAAGAAGTCAGAAATCTGGAGTTGTTTATTAAATCTCCTCTATTTTTCCCTCAGTGTTGCTAATTTAGGTTTTTTCTTCTCTGTGAGTCAGTTTCTGCCAGGTACTACAAGTTTGTGAGCCCCCATAGAATTTTCCAGCGCAGAATTTGGAGGATAGTTGGGCAGAGGATTAGAACTAGTGTCAGGGGTTAGCCTGAGTAGTACTATGGCTGGGTCCGCTTGTCATGGCTTCCCAGTCCTCGTGGCTTATTAAACTGACTCATTAGAAGTAAGATGTGGCAATTGATGGACTCATTCTCTGACTTTGTAATCATTTCCAGCTCCACTGCCATCCCTTTGGCTTCACGCTTGGCTGACACAATGACCCGCTGTACATCAAGGGTGTGGGAGGTAGGGGTGTGCATAAATGGAAGCTCTAGTAATTGAAAAGAATTTATTATTTAAAAAAAAATTATCAGCATGAATGCATTCACAGGGTTTTCAGACAGTCCTTCTTTTGGTCTCCTTTGTTTCGTCTTCAATCTGGAATACCTGAAAGCTAGTTTCCTGGCCAATTAGCATTCTGCATGGTTCATTTGGCTCATGGCAACCAATAATCACAACACCATTTGTACATAACAGTTCTGTGATCCAATTTGGGCTTAAGAACTGTAGGGAAAAATTATTGTGAAAAAAATTTTTGTTTGGGTGTAGATAGTCAATACAAATTAATTTCAGATGAACCTAAATAGACCTGATAAATTCACTAAGCAGATGCTATTAAAATGAAGAATGCTCTTAAGGTTTTCTGTGAATTTGGGGGTTTGGGGCAAATTAGGATTATAACTTTGTAGTAGTGGTATGTTTTACAAAGGCCATTTCACTTCAGGCTAAGAAGAGTGAAAGGCTAAAACAAGTAGATGGAAAATTGAGATATAATAGGCTTACTTATGAAGTAAATGCTTTTATTTAGAATCCTTATATTGACAGTCCTCCTTTATCTAATTTTCTGAATAGCTGCTTAAGTCTAAGTTATATTTAGCCTATATAAGCACAGTCACAGACAGGGAAATCGACAAATGTTTGCAGATACCTATAAATATGCTGCATGTGGGTAGCACTTTTCAGAGTTTTGAAAGTGACTTAAACAGCCTCTTAAATTGCAGCAACACAGCTCACTCGAGGTTTATAAACTCAGTGTTAAGTTCTTGTTTTTGTTCTCCTGGGCTGGTGTAAGTCTGTATTGCGTGATCTTAGGAAGCAGACCTAAGCCTGTATTCTTTGGATGAGAAATGACAATGTTATGGAATTGGGATCCCTCCGCAAAGTAATCATTTCAACAAGAAAATTTATTGTCTACATATTTACAAGGGTTAGGGCCCAAAATGGAGTAGAAAGGGAATAATACATCAAAACTTCAACTGAAGAAAATTTTCAAGTGTTCACGTGGACTGACCGAGATGAACCAATACTTCCAGAGCACTTTCACCCGTATGATGTACATGTTAACTACCTGATGATATAATGATAGAAAGACATATAAAACAGCTATTTTTCCTGGCAGAGAGCCCTGCTGTAAACCTGGAGATATTTAAATGACATATCTCAGCCATGATGCTGGCTGCAGGGATACCCAGAATAGCCATTGACTTGCATAATAGATTTCTTCTGCATGCATTGCTCTTCCTGCCAGCTTCTGGGGTTGACAATTTCACATTTGACACATGCAATCTTAAGATGGAAAAAATTAAAATTGGGGGATATAATAAAGTAGCAGGACATTGTCTCGTTAGCTTGTAGGACATTTGTACCAAGATGAATGCAGTTGTTGAAGGATGGAGACTCATTTGTCATGTCAAGAAAAATTAAGCCTTCAAAGCATACATACATCTCTAAACATTTCTAAAGGAATGAGAATCAGACTTCTGAGTTTCCTCTTTTCTTCCATTATATGCTACAAATTCTCTGAGGCAATATGCTTCTGTATAATACTATTCTTGAGCTCCTGGTAAAAGTTGCCAGTTCTCCCTGCCCCCGCCCCCTCCCGCCAGATGCTTTCTCTCCTAAAATCTAACAGCTGACTGGTGTCTTGTTTATGTTTTACTTACTTTTGTGATTTACTTCTCCCCTTTAATACTGTACTGAACAGGAGCCATGAGAAGCAAATCGGGGCACTTCAGAGCTTCTTTCCTTTGAGTTCAGATTCTCTAGGATAGGAAGAACTGGCAAATAAATGAATGAATAGACTCTTGCTTTTCACCTGTCTAATAAATACATGTTTATGTCTCTTCGTAATGGTTCACCCTTATGAACAAGTAATCATTTAAAGTTTAATTTTAATCTACACATCAGAGATGGAGATATGGAAGTGTTTAGGCTTTTCTCTCAATCTCTCTCCCTCTTTGATTTTCAAGATAAAGCAAATTAATTAATGTGCACTTTTCAATTGAAGAAATGCTTAAGACCCAGCTGTGTCTGTGAAATTATAAGTTACAGTGCAACACTTGGGACTGATTAATACTTTTTTGGCATGAAGAGAAGAGACATAGGTATGTAATCAAAATGGTGTTCCAAAAAGCGTTAAGTTAGCAGTTTGTTTGCCAAATTAACTTTCAAAGACATCTAGGTTACTAAGTTTGACATTTCTACACACAAATCTTAAATGATTGATGGATTACTGTAAAATAGCTTTGTTCAAAAAAGATAATCTTTGGCAGGCTACTTCAAAGAGTTTACTGCTCTGGAAAGATGAAAAGACATCCTCATTTTACATTAATTTTCATGATAGATCAATGCTTATTTGCAATATGCCTGAGAATTAAGTGACATTTACCGTATTATGAGTCTTTTTTTTTTTTTTCACTGTATCCAGCAGTCCCACATGGGATTGTTTTTATTTCCAAGATTTAGGAGAATTTTTCTGCACATAAAGAGCTTCATCAAGAAAATACAGATGGGTAGAACAGTATATCTGACATTTTTATTCACTACTATTTCACTGCAAGGAAGTATTGAGACTAAAATATATAGAGATACGACTTTTTAAATCAACAATACCATTTCAGAATGCGGTTTCAGATTCTCCTTGTAGTAATCTTTAGAGTGTGAAAGGATCTACCTACTTCTCTTTAAATATAAATTGTGTGATTTTATTTATTTATGTCTAAGTCACTGTAGAATGACATACGTCAGGGGTGAATATCTCAATTAAGGGGTCAAGCAGGTAATGGAAATTAGTAAAGAGGACGAGTTATAGATGTGTGTATGTGTGTGCGTGTGCATGTCTGTACCTGTGTGTTGGAAGTGGAGGCGTGGTGCCTAAGGAAACTGTCATTTAGGGCAGTACAGCAGGTATTTTGATTTTTACAAAGAAATTGAAAACTCTAGATTAATATCAGAAATCTCCTATTTTTCGATATTGGCAATCACCTCAAATTTCTGAGTGATTTTGAATGCAGAGTTTCATGATTGTGCAATAGCCATCTATAAAAGCCTAAAGATGGCTCAGGTAAAGGAAACAAAGCTCTTTGTCCCATATTGGAGAAACTTTGCAAAAGGGCTCAGATGCATGGGGAAAGAGGTGGCAGTAGGTAACGGGTACAAGTTCCAAACACAAAAATCAGCGAATTCACCATGTAGAAGATGTAAAGCAGAAGCTTTTTTTTCTCTTGAATTTATCTTTAAGGGTATTTCATTTTATGGCATTGAACAAAGCTGACTTGGAAAAAAAAATCTGTTCTTCACTTTTTGGCAGGGTGAAGTAGAGAAATAAAGTCTCCCCGCTGAACTACTATGAGGTCAGAAGCCTTGCTGCTATATTTCACACTGCTACACTTTGCTGGGGCTGGTTTCCCAGAAGATTCTGAGCCAATCAGTATTTCGCATGGCAACTGTAAGTACCCATGGTCTCACTCACTGTCTCCCTTTGAGAACATTTTAGCCTGAATCGGCCTAGCAAAAAATAAAAATGAAAAATGAAATAGAAAAGGTGACTTCTTAGTCCTCTGTACATGGCAAAGGTGGATAATTCAAGTCTAGTCAAAT